CTCAATAATAATTAACTTGCATTTTATTGACTCTCTTAAAGGTTAATTTTATGCAATTTAAAATATTTTTGAAAATTAGATTACCTTGGCGGAAATTTGTAAAACAAGATTTCTTATCTTATCTATTTTTACAACACATTGTTATGCATTAATTGTTAAATAATGTATTTGCAAAAAATGATTTTCTATATAAAATATTTGTACCTTGCTTCGGGAAATATTGGTGTCAATATGTAAATAATTTCTCCATCAACTGTAAATAAATAAGCACTTTTTTGAACATATCTTTTTCTTCCTCAGTTTTAGAGTCCTGTATAAAAGAACTCGGATGTTGATTTTCTTTTATATGAAAGATGCTGGCCCTGGTTGCATTTGAACATTTAACTATTCTGTACGAGCCACAGGATTATTTTTTCTTGCTTTTGTGGATACAGCCAAAGGCTGATTAAGGAGTACAAAGGCCCATTTCAAATGCTGAATATTTTTGCATGTACTGGACCAAAAGCAAACTGGCAAAAATAGTAGTTAGCTTTTCATCTCATTTGGGCCAAAGAAACACAGAGGCATGAGAAAATCCTCCTGTTTGGAGGATTACAGTTACACATGACGTCCACTTTTAAATCTTAAAATTCTTTTATGCAACGGGGCCCAGAAACTTTAAAATGCTCATGGCAAATTAATTCCCTCAAAGCCTATCAAGGCTGGGTTGTTCTTTATGGTGATTTTTGCAAAATTGTTTTGAAAATAGTTTCAACAGGGAAATTGAATTGTGTTGATTACAAAAATATTCATACCCCATGATGGAGGTTATTTGGCTTTGACCCCTTGCCCACCCCCTACCTCCCCTTTATGTATGCAGTTCAGCTGTATTTCTACCTCCTATAGCTTCTCTCTCCTTGGAAATGTCAGTGAGATTCGTTAGGGTACGTTAGGATATTTCCTGTAAACATCTACACGTTGAAACAATTTTATCAAGCAAAGTAACATTCCACTGAAGGTGTATCAATGCCAAAGAAAGTGGAAGTACTTGATCCATATATGCAAGAGTGAGCATTTCTCAACAGTGCACATACTGTATACATTATGCCAATAGCACTTAACCAAACTTTAAGATCTTTTTTAAAGTCAAGGAAAGCAAAGTATTCTACAATGTCACCAAAGACCCAGTCAACTGAAATTCTAACTTTACTCATGGACTGATTGAATGCCTCTTGCTGTGGTGTCAGGGTAGCACCCTTGAAAGATCCCTGAAGATGTACCCTAAGAGGGTACGCAGGGTCGCCGTAAATACAGAGGGGTTGACCATTTGGTGATATGGAATGAACCTCTAACATTGGCAGCAAGCCAGACATTGCCAACATACCACTATCATGTCGTCGACCTTCGACTGGACCATACAGATTCGCAATAAGTCCATTTGCAGCAACAACACTCTGGAATTTAATGGAATGAACCCTTTTGTGTCCATTATAGAGTACTCGCTGGTGAACTCCTGGTCGCGTAGTTACTAAAACAAGGAATGACCTTCAATGACCTACAATGACCTACAATGATCTACAATGATCTACAATGACCTACAATGATCTACAATGATCTACAATGACCTACAATGATCTACAATGACCTACAATGAGCTACTATGACCGAACGTGTAATCCCTGTAATTAGCTAAAATGAAGATTTTAGAAAAAGACAAAAAAAAAAAGACCAGGGGACGTGTGTCGTAGTTACTAAAACAAGGAATAACCTATAATGACCTAAAATGACCTACAATGATCTACGATGAGCTACTATGAGCTACTATGAGCTGCTACGAGCTAAAATGAGTTAAAATAAGCCCTACAATGAGCTACAAAATGACAGACAATGATGTTTGTCGTGTGTCACGCTTGGACGTGACACTAGGCTCATGGTATTAAATTGCCAAGCACATTTTGAAAAGGCAAAACAAAAATTGTGCCTGATCTCAGGTAACTTGAGAAATTTGAAAATAGATTATTGCAATCGCTTTTTTACCGGTATGGCACTATTATACCCTGTATTGACGGAAGTCATGCAGGCACTCCCTTATTTGGCCTAGATGGGTATGGGCCGCTGAGCAGGATATGGATTTTACTATTTAGCGTTACAAGCAGAGCATCCTGTTGGACCGAAAGCCATTTAAAGGGTCTTATGATGTCTTATACAGGCCAGGGTACTTAAAAAAAATGAACAATTTTTCTTTTGAACAGGGTCAGAATATGAAGGCTACCTTTGTTCATCTCTACCCTTACGTCCCTTGAAGATCCTCCCGGATCGACTGTTGGGGTGACTGTGTTTGTTCAATTTTTTTGAAAAAAAGACAAGACAAAATAAAACTGATGCGAAAGGTTGAAAGGGATGGTTTGGACAAAAGTCACAGTATCATCATACATGTATTATTATACCGTAAATTTATCTCCAAGCGTAATAATTAGAGATGCTGTCATCGTTAAATGGGCTGCCATGCAGTAGACTAAACGCGTTACGTTTACGCACACATGTCCCCTGATCTTTTATTTTGTCCTTTTCTAAAATCGTCATTTTAGCTCATTACAGGGATTACACGTTCGGTCATAGTAGCTCATTGTAGGTCATTGTAGGTCATTCCTTGTTTTAGTAACTACACTCCTCGTCGACACACTGGTCGCACGGTACCGTCTACGAATCCCCAGCAGTTTTCAAGTGCTGCTCCCTTTTGATAAACCGCATCTGCAAACGTTACTAGATTTGCTGGTGATAGCCATGGCTGGTTAAGATCAGTCAGTAAATGACCATGTCGCGCAAAGATTAAACTGATCATTTCATTCACAACCATGCTGATTTGCGGGACAGCCCTTCCAAATCTTGGTACCAAATCTTCGTATCTACATGGATATGCAAATCGTCTTAAAAGCATGCAGAGAGCTTCATCACTGTAAACGTAAAAACGGTTTTCGGAAAAGATTTTCTCAAGGGGATTTAACACTTCGAGAAGAGTGTAGATGTCGTGTTTGAGAAACCGAAATTCGCTCTTGCATTCGGCGTCTGTCAAGGTATCGAGATCGAATTTGTCATATCTCCAGTACGGTAAGTCGAGGTTCTTTGATGAATTCAAGTCATACAGGAGAAGCAGTTCTTCATTGTCTATGAGGGTCATGTTGTTTGCTAACATAAGTGCATCTCTTGCATCTCTAAAGGTGGCCATTTTTGTACTGAAATACACAAAATCCGCTACGCGGGTTTACGGTTTTTCCCTTATGTCTGTATTAACATTTGTTAGCCTAAGAAGTTCTTCGCTGTCTGCACTGAGGTTCACATCATTTGCTGTTAAAAAAACCGCTTTTTTAGTCGCTGAAAGTTCCGATTTTGCTGCACATTAAGTACTCACAAGTTGTAGCCAGGTTAGGGTTTTCCGCTGGCGTTGCATTGTGTTGCGTAAGGTTTGTGTACGTACAGGACGGCAACGTCATAGCTCGCGTGCTCGACCTAGTCCTCACGCGGACACAAGTCGCCGTCCTCTTCGGGCCGTCCTGTTGCGTAAGGTCTCTATTACCTCAAAACTGCGCAATGCGGCAGTGAGACAAAGCCAACCATTTCAGAACAGTCGGACTGCGCATCGTCTTTTGAATCCTCCTGTCAATCACTGGATTGAAGCTTTGAGTCATTTGTTGCGCCACTACCATCGATTTCGCCTGGTTGAGTGGTGACTAGCCTGCGAAAACATCCGTTTCTCCTCGCTCTTCGCCGCCGGGGAAGTTTCGCGCAGAGGAAAAAAAAAAACGTCTGCGACTCAGCGGCAGAAAGTCCATATTGATGACGCAAATTATTGTTTACATAATAAATCCGACAGTCATGGGGTTCCAAAAATAAATTTGCCCAATTTTGCGTGTCTTCTGGTCGATTTTGGTAAAGTATTGTGTTCATCTACCCACGAGCTCCAGCAAAAACTCAAATGCTTCTTCTAGAGAAGACTATATTCTACAAATATTGACTGTTTTGATAGAAATTCTTCGCATTTACGTTTGACCTCTGTGGCCTTTTGTCTTTTGTCTGTCATTCTTAAACAACAGCTAAAACAATGTAACTACTCCGTCGACCAATCAGCGCTTCTGACCGGATTCTGGACAGATTTTACGTCATCAATATGGAATTTCTGTCGCCGAGTCGCAGACGTTCCTCCACGCGAAACGTCCCCAGCGGCGAAGAGCGAGGAGAAACAGATGTTTTCGCGGGCTAAGTCATGACCAGCACGAAAAAATTTCGAACGCAAGCGACTAGTCTCTCTTTCCCTCCTCGATCTCTTTTAGTGTCATGTTTTCGTCATGTTTGTCATATGATCCAACAGGGGAGTTATTCTCGTATGCCGTTATTTGTACTTTTCATGTTTGTTGAGGTTCACCTGGTATTTTTTTTTGGCTGAAAATGTCTTTACATTTAAAACTACTTAATTACTATAGAGGGGACACAACATCGGTTAGTTACTTTTGTTTCATATCGAGACGCCTCCTTTTTGAAACCTTGGATACACCGATGTTCTGTTAAGTAGATAGAAATAAGCTAAAACATCATGTAACAAGAATTGCTCATGGCTTTGGTACTAACTATTGCTAGTCAGTCTTTGTTATATTTTGATCACCAATGAATCATGCTTTGTTCATATCAATTCACCCCTAGAATGAGAATTATAGTTAGTGAGACAGCTTGCCCACAAGAAAATTAGAAACAAATCGGACCCCTTCTTGAAAGAAAAAATGTATGTTGCCCACAGCTCCTTTGGGCTATGAATTTACATGGTGACCCCTCCTGCTAATTATTGTACAGTCTCTCGGTGTTGTGGGTCAGTGTAGTTTAATGCCTTGTAACCATGGCAACTGCAAAACGATTTCAAGAACAGTACTCGTATTGTAGTCTACAGTAGGGCGATAGACCTTCTTTAAAATAGCAGCCCATTTACTTGTTCTTTTATCTAATTTAATTCATTCTTGTGTTTAATTTTTATTTTATTTTCTGACCATTATTTTATTATTTATTTATCTATTCATTTTAATTTGCTCTTTCTGGTTCTTCGCCTGTATATATTTTAAACCAAACCGGCGTAATTGGTGTTATGGTGGCCAACTAGAAAACCGAATGGTTCATTTGGCCATCATACTCGAACTTCAATATTAGTTCAAATTAGGAAAAGTTTATATTATAAACAGCAATCTAAAAAGGCTGTAACTAACACTAGTTAAAATATTAACAGAAAATAAAATGAACTAGACAGCTGAACTGAACTGAAAAGACTCTTCTGGGTCTCGTTTGAGAAGAAAGAATTCTTTTGTAATTTGCACTCATATAAAAGAATGTATTAATAGGCCGCAATTGCATGTGAAAGGGGTTTATGCTATATTAGTAAAATCCAACAAGCAGTGTATTAATCAATGCTGCGTTCTGATTGCTCGAGCTATTACTACTAGGCTATATGTTAAAGTCCACTAGTAGCGAAAAGCGCCGGCTTTGAAAACCAAAACAATGGCGGCTGAATCGCTTTTTGCTAGCTAAAGTTGTTTTGTCTCGATATTTTTGACCAACTAGTTGGATTTTACTAGGCCTTCCGTCTCAGGCGCTATTTTTCGGGCTCTAGTAATAATTGTTAAATGCTGGGGGGGGGGGGGGGGGGGGGGGGGGGGTAAACATGGGGGGGGCGTTTTTTTTTTTTATGTGAGTTTTGTTTTTTGTTTTTTGTTTTTGTCCAAGTTTGTTTTTTCTTTGGGGGCCCCTCCCTTGGGGTTTTTTGTGGGGTGTTTTAGATAATGTTTTGTGGGGGGGGGGGGGGGGGGGGGGAGGGTTGGAGGGGTACTTGGGTTAATTTTCGCTGTGTAGGTGCCGCTGGCCTCTCAGAACCCCTACCCCATCATAGTCTATTCTGTGGCCAATTATAGACTCCATCTTAGTCATTTTTGAGCAAAAATGTAATTTCCGCGATCCCAACTTAGTCACTCTCTATTTTTATGAACTTTTCATTTGCAGTACAAACATTTTGGTGCGTTTGCTAACCGTAAATATGAAGAACTGTCTTACCCCAAAAAATCCATTCTAGTAACCCCATTCTAGTAACTATATTGAAAATGCGACCCCATTATAGTCAATCCAGTCGTGAAAATGCGACCCCATCCAGCGGCACATCCCCATTACCCTCTTTTAAGGAAGTACCCACCGGGTGTTAAATAGAGCTCTTAAAACATAGATTGCTTGAATGGTAGATTATTTGTACCAAGGACGTCCACCCACGCCGTTTACATGCTATGTTAGTAATAGTTGACACTGCAGCTGCCCCCGCTCTATATGTTGTCGGTCAAATGTATTCCTTGTCTTTGCCTAGCTCTTTGAAATAAACTGATTCATTTTGAAGATTTTCACACACATTCCATTCAAGAAACGCAAGATTTCATACATTGATTTAGGTCGAATTACGCAGCTATGTCCAAGAAGGAAACAACGTGATGGCAACGCTTGCAAAAACGGATCTTCCGATCCGACTTTCGAGGAATTAGCCGCTCGGCCACAAAAGTTTTAAAAATAAACCTTTTAGGCATTTAGTTTGTGTAAGAAAAACTTAGTAAAAAGGGAATGCGAAAACACAATCATATAAAACACACGCCCGTCCCCTCAAACGGCGAAAAAAACCTAATCTAATCTTGTTTAGGTTGGGTGGAAAAAGTTTATAGCTTTTTGAAGCGCTTTCATGGATCAACAATGTCCAAGTATTATTGTCTGAAGCAAATGAAATTGCTAAATAAGTGGTTTGACGAGCAAATTCTCATAAAGTTTAATTGAAAGGCTAAAGGAATAACTTAGTCTGAGAGAGATAATTGAGCATTCATTTCAATAAGCTTTTGGAGAATTCCATGACATGCATCTTGGTAAGAACTGACTTAAACCTTACGGTATCAAATGCTTTCGAATAGTCGGCCATGACCATCACGGAGACCTCACCCCTCTTCATGGCCCGAATAAGATCGTCCCAAATACGGAGCAAACCAGTTGTGGTGGACTGTCCTTTCCTGAAGCCTGAGATGCTTGGGAGTAATAAAGATTGTTCATCAATAGAGTGGACGAGTTGCTTGAGTACCAAACGCTCGAAGACCTTGGAGAGCGCGGGAAGTATAGAGACCGGTCGATAGTCTGCGTTCTGTTTTGGATTGTCGACTTTAGGGACGGGTGAGATGCGTGCAGTTTTCCAGATGCGTGGAAACTGCGAGTTAGAGATACACACGTTGATGATATGTGCAAGAACACCCGTAAGGAAATCGCCATCCTGTTCTACATATTTGACGGGAATTTGGTCTCTTTGAGAACCTCCTCAGTAGATACCGTGCGGAGCTGGAAAGGATAACGATCGGGTTCAGGAGGTGAGTCAATTAAATCCACTAGATCGGTGGCCTTGTCTGAGAGCGTACCCAGTGTTCTCTCCGTTGCCTTGATAAAGTAACGATTCAGCTTATCGATCAGGATCTGCACGAATAGGCCTGGGGCTAGGGTGAATAACGCGCCAAACCTCCTTAGGTCACTTTGACGAGAGAGCGGTGTTCTGAAATGCTCTTTTAGCCTTTCCGATGACCGCCTTTATCCTATTTCGCACAGCTCTGAACGCAGTCCATGTCTCATGAGTGCCACTGCAACGGGCTTGTGCCCTTAGCTTGTCCCTAGTAGTAGCTGGCAACTCACGTATCTCATCAGACGCCATCTATGGGGCTGGTGGTCGCGTTAACTTCACTTTCTTTAAAGGGGCATGGCGGTCTAAGCACTCAGTCACGAGAGAGTTAAGTGCATCCACCATACCATCCGGTGACTCTAGTCCATAGATGACATTCAAAGCCAGAGACGAGAAATCTTGTTTAAACGCTTGCATGTCAAGCTGTTTCCCATTTCGTATGTATTTGTAACGGGGTGCATATCTTTTAACTTGCACGTTGACAATTGCGTAAACAGCGTCATGATCACTCACAATGGAGCTGGAAGTATGTCAGAGTGAACAACTCTCAAGGGATCATTAGAGATGACGTGATCAATCAGGGTTTTCGTAGTGCGAGTGACTCTGGTTGGTTTTGTAATGTGTTGAGTCAAATTTAAGAACACTAAAATGTCCCCGTACTGACGCTCAATGTTACTCATGTTTGGTTTATTATCTAAGAGCGAGACAGATGTTTATGTCGTCGGTTA